TTTTTACTATACAACCGTTTGTCAATTGGAAATGTGCACCTGGTCGAAGTGGACGTTTAGAAAAACACCTACAATCTACTTATCATAAAATAGCTGTACAAAATTTATCATTTAGGCAGCAAGAAGGATCAGTAGCACAACAATTATTTAATGTTAATGAATTAGAACGTCAAGAAAATCGTCATAGATTTGGTGATTTATTAGATGGTGCATATTTTTTATTTAAACATGAACTTCCACATACAACATTATATGCACCATTACTGGAATTATTATCAAAAATTGATCATAGTAAAAAATTATCAACATTTTTCGATAAATGTCAAAAGAATGCCACCTATGATAGCACAACAACAGTAACAGAATTATTGCAATCAACAAGTGAAGTAATAGATAAACGGATTTTAACAAAAATTCGTGAATCAAGAATTATTTCAGTTATGGCCCATGAAGGCACAGATATAGATCACTATCAAAACTTATCAATTTGTATACGTTATTGTAATCAAGATACAGGTGAATCAACAGAATCATATATTAGTTTATTAAAAATAAAAGATAAAGATGCACAAACAATATTTGATACCATTGTTAAAGAATTAAAATGATAAAAATTCGTTTTACTGATTTTGATGGTGCATCAGTTTTTAGTGGAGAATGTAATGGTGTATCAACAAAATTTCGACAAATATATTCAAATTCAATATTATTTATTCATTGTCGTGCTCATATATTACAATTATGTTTATTATCAGCGTGTGAAGATATACCTGAAGTAAAAGAAAGTTTATTAACATTGAAATCATTATTCAATTTTATTAATCGGTCATCAACTATAGTTGATGACCGATTAACACACTGACACGCCCTACAAGTTAGGTCCCTTCTTTAAAGATTGTGAAGGCCAAAGTTAGTAAAAGCTGTTCCATAATAATTATCAAGTAACTTCGTCTTTAAGGCATCTGACAGCTTATCAATTACCGACATATGCATAAAAACGGGACAGAAATTTAATCGCTCAAACAAATGGAAAAAACGGACAAACATGATTCCATACCCTGAAAATATTTAATTGTTGCTTGATCATTAACAAATGTTGATAGCCATTTGAAGACGTCCATTTGTTCTAGTTTCATGTCCTAAATATGATAAGTAAATTAGAATGAACGTGAGAAGTGCACAAAAACAATCCGCAGATTTGAAGATAATTATATCTCTTTTATACACTAAACATATAAAACAAGATGATTAGAGCTGCGAAAAATAGCGATTTTCTTTTCTTATTCACGTTATATATAGTGTGTACGAACGTTTTAGGCTTCATGCAGATAAGACGTAAGGATAATTATGTCCTTCTTTTTTTTTTCGTCTATATATCACATTTTGTACGTATACATTACGTGTATACTTTAGTTTCTCTAGTAGTTATTCGCTTAAGAGTATATCACTCTTTTTTCTTTCTAGATAAATGATAACAACTAACTGAATTCAGTGACCTCACTATATACTATATACACGTGATGTACATATACAAACGTGATATATAGATGAAAAAAATCGTATGACGAAAGGGTTCTGCTAAAACAAGATAGTTCCACATGTTAGATACACAATGCAACCATGATAATGAACCGAAATATTTTCCTTTAATTTTATTATGAAAACTGTCAAATGGATAACTACAGTAAAATGAAATATATCTGCCTGCTCCTGAACTGAAAATACATGTGTATATATA